CCAAAACACTCTCCTCAAGTACAATCACTCCAGGTCAGTCTGTCTCCCATTACAACCCACCCAAGTCAGTTTCCCATTACAACCCACCCAGGTCAGTCTGTCTTCCAGTACAACCCCCCAGTTTGGTCTGTCTCCAAGTACAACCCCCCAGGTCAGTCTGTCTCCCAGTACAATCCCTGCCAGGTCAGTCTGTTTCTCAGTAACCCCCCCCCCAGGTCAGTCTGTTTCCTCAGTAAACCCCCCCCGCCCAGGTCAGTCTGTTTCTCAGTTGTTTCTCAGTAACCCCCCCCCCAGGTCAGTCTGTTTCTCAGCAACACCCCCCCAGGCCAGTATGTTTTTCAGTAACCCCCCCTCCAGGTCAGTCTGTTTCTCAGTAAACCCCCCCCAGGTCAGTCTATCTCCCATTACAATCCCTCCAGATCAGTCTGTCTTCCAGTACAACCCCCCAGTTTGGTCTGTCTCCAAGTACAACCCCCCAGGTCAGTCTATCTCCCATTACAATCCCTCCAGGTCAGTCTGTCTTCCAGCACAACCCCCCAGTTTGGTCTGTCTCCAAGTACAACCCCCCAGGTCAGTCTGTCTCCCAGTACAATCCCTGCCAGGTCAGTCTGTTTCTCAGTAACCCCCCCAGGTCAGTCTGTTTCTCAGTAAGCCCCCCCAGGTCAGTATGTTTCTCAGTAAACCCCCCCCCAGGTCAGTTTGTTTCTCAGTAACCCCCCAGGTCAGCCTGTCTCTCAGTAATCCCCCCCTTAGGTCAGTCTGTTTCTGAGTAACCCCCCCCAGGTCAGTCTGTTTCTCAGTAACCTCCCCCAGGTCAATCTGTTTCTCAGAACCCCCCCCCCCCCTAGGTCAGTCTGTTTCTCAGTAACCCCCCCCCCCAGGTCTGTCTGTTTCTCAGCAACACCCCCCCAGGTCAGTATGTTTTCCAGTAACCCCCCCCTCCAGGTCAGTCTGTTTCTCAGTAACCCTCCCCCCCCCCCAGGTCAGTTTGTTTCTCAGTAACCCCCCCAGGTCAGTTTGTTTCTCAGTAACCCCCCCAGGTCAGTCTGTCTCTCAGTAATCCCCCCCCCTCAGGTCAGTCTGTTTCTCAGTAACCCCCCCCAGGTCAGTCTGTTTCTCAGTAAGCCCCCCAAGGTCAGTTTGTTTCTCAGTAACCCCCCCCCCCCCATGTCAGCCTGTCTCTCAGTAATCCCCCCCCCCCTCAGGTCAGTCTGTTTCTCAGTAACCCCCCCCAAGTCAGTCTGTTTCTCAGTAAGCCCCCCCAGGTCAGTATGTTTCTCAGTAACCCCCCCCCCCAGGTCAGTCTATCTCCCATTACAATCCCTTCAGGTTAGTTTGTCTCACAGTACAATTCCCTCAGATCAGACTGTCTACAATGCAATCCACCCCCCCCCCAAGTCAGTCTGTGCCTAAGTACAATTACCCACCAGCTTAGTCTGTCCCTAGTACAATTACTCCCCCAAGATTGGGTGCAAAAACACCTAGTGTGCATGTGGTCTTCACGGCCGGTTCATACCATAAAAGGTGCATTTTTGTGCAATTCATCCTGATACATGGTGCCATGTACCAATCCTGATCTGTGGTGCCATGTACTGATTCTGATCCAGATGGTAAATACAGCAGATACCACAATAAAGAGACAGACTTCATCTGCCATCATCGTCATCAGCCTCATCCTCCTCTAGAGTCATCCTTATATTCAACATGCCATTTCCATCATCATTATCCCATAATTAGAAATATAAGTCTGTTCTAATCACCAACATATCCCTCCAGAGTCATTCTCATCCCCCTCAGCATTGTAATCTCATCATCCGCATCTCTCTCAGTGATCATCTTCCTCATCCCCAGTTATCATTACCGGTCTATCCTCATTTCTCTCTGCATTTTCACCGCATCATCCTCATTCCTGTCCAGAGTAATTCTCACCCTCCTCCACATTGTAATCCAATCATCTCATCCCCCAGATTATCACTACACATCTATCCTCATCACTAACATCCATTTACACATTCCCCATCCATTACAACCATCCTCATCCCCACACAGTAAACATCTATCCTTATCCCTCAATCCTTCATCCCTAACTTCCTTATCCAGAATCATACTCATCCTTTTCCGCACTGTATCCAAGTCTTCCTCATCTTTAAATTCCTAATACATATCTGTCTCATCCCTCTCCACATTGTACCCTCATTATCCTCATCCTCAACGCCACCTACATAATCACCATCCTCATCCACAACACCCCCTCCATAATCATCCTCATTCCCACATAATATTTACATATTGTATCTTTCCTCATCCCTCTCCACATTGTAACCTCATCATGCACTTCAATCTCCATAGTCATCCTCATAATATTCTTCTTTGCTCTCCATAATTGCCCCAATCATACTCATCCCCCTCCAGAATTATCCTCATCCTTCTCCACAATGGAACTTCATTACCCTCATTCCCTCTCCAAAATCATCCTCATCCCTCTCCACAATGTAAATCCATCATCCTCATCCCCCTCCAGAATCATCCTCATCCCTATCCATCTCCACAATGTAACTCTATTGTCCTCATCCCCCTCCAGAATCATCCTCATCCCTCTCCACAATGTAACTCCATCATCCTCATCCCTCTCCACAATGTAACTGTCATCCTCATACTCCTCCACAATCATCCTCATCCCTCTAAGGGTGACGGAGTTATATTATGGAGAGGGATGAGGATGATTCTGAAGGATGATGATGGAGTTACATTATGAGATATGAACCACCTGCGCTACCCAGAATGCACTAATAACCTAAGATTGGGAAGGTGCTATCACCTGGCTATATACCTGGATAAAATGGCAAATAAAAAGAAAGAAATGGTGCTGCGATCCCACACACAATTACCTATATATTATACATACTCAATAAAAATAAATAAATAATCCTCTTATATAATCCACTATGTGAGATGTATATACATCTATTATTCACAATAACATGCAATCATATGCAAAATCTATACCCATATGATAACAAAACAAACAAATATGTGAATGAATTTAAAAAAGAAGAAATAGTGCAAAAAAACACACGTTCCTAAACAGGGTTAAAGTGACATGAATCACAAAATCACAAGGTGATAGACCAGCAATGGGCAAACTACGGCCCGCGGGCCGTATACGGCCCGGCGGACCTTTTAATCCGGCCCGCGGAGCTAGGCTCCCGCAAGGCCAGTGGTCGGCAAGCCGCGGCTCTTTACAATAGATGCGGCTCTCCTGTGTGCCGGGCGCCCGCTCCCCTCCCTCCTCTCGGGCGGGCGGGCGACCTCCTCTCCTCCTCTCCCCTCCCCTCCTCTCGGATGGCCGCCCCCCCTCTAGGATGGCCGCCCCCTCCCTCCTCTCGGGCGTCAGGACTCTGCAGCTGTCAGGATGTAGGCGGGGCAGCCAGGATGTAGGCGGGGCAGCGTGACGAACTCTTCTCTCACAGTCCTCCCTGAAGACCAGAACGGCGCGGGAATACGAGAGGAACGCGCGGAGGAGCAAAGGTAAGTGAATTGACACAGGGGGGGCTTACTATATGGGGAATGAATTACTATATGGAGGAACTTACTATATGGGGGATGAATTACTATATGGGGGACTTACTATATGGGGAATGAATTACTATATGGGGGACTTACTATATGGGGGATGAATTACTATATGGGGGACTTACTATATGGGGAATGAATTACTATATGGGGGACTTACTATATGGGGAATGAATTACTATATGGGGGACTTACTATATGGGGGATGAATTACTATATGGGGGACTTACTATATGGGGAATGAATTACTATATGGGGGACTTACTATATGGGGAATGAATTACTATATGGGGGATGAATTACTATATGGGGGACTTACTATATGGGGAATGAATTACTATATGGGGGACTTACTATATGGGGAATGAATTACTATATGGGGGACTTACTATATGGGGAATGAATTACTATATGGGGGACTTACTATATGGGGAATGAATTACTATATGGGGGACTTACTATATGGGGGACTTACTATATGGGGGATGAATTACTATATGGGGGATGAATTAATATGGGGGATGAATTAATATGGGGGATGAATTAATATGGGGGATGAATTACTATGTGGGGGATGAATTACTATGGGGGATGAATTACTATATGGGGGATGAATTACTATGTGGGGGATGAATTACTATGGGGGATGAATTACTATGGGGGATGAATTACTATATGGGGGATGAATTACTATATGGGGGATGAATTACTATATGGGGGATGAATTGCTATAAGGGGGATGAATTGCTATATGGGGGACGAATTACTATATGGGGGACGAATTACTATATGGGGGATGAATTACTATATGGGGATGAATTACTATGGGAGATGAATTACTATATGGGGGATTAATTACTATGCTTACTATGGGGGAATATTACTATACTTACTATGGATGACACATACACATCATTCATCTACTCTTGGTCCGGCCCCCGGGTCCAATATATGAACCCATTGCGGCCCTCAAGTCAAAAAGTTTGCCCACCCCTGTGATAGACACTTGGCATAAATTATGCCCAAAACTGTGCAGTGAAAAAAAGGACTAGCAAATGGCACAAATGGTGCCTTTATACATAGACAAGATAAGATGGTCAGGATAAATAACCTCACTGAAGACAAAACATAGGACCAACAAAAGTCCTTCCACATAAATGTGTATCCAAAATGTGAGAGGTGACCACAAAATAATTAAATTAATTAATAAATAAATATAAATGGGTATACCGTGCTCAAGTCCATGAAATTTGGGACTGAAATAGCTATTAAATGAACATCAAAGCGTGACAACACAAATGATTTGACAAGTGACACACTGTGCATAAATAAAAAAGCACAACTAGGCAGAAATGGGCAGAAATATGTGCTACCAATAAGGATTAAAAAAAAAAAGGAACGTGGACTTTTGTTCCTCTGGTCATCCCCTGTACTATGTCCGCAGTCTCTGGTCATCTCCTGTACTATATCCGCAGTCTCTGGTCATCCCCTGTACTATGTCTGCAGTCTCTGGTCATCCCCTGTAGTATGTCCGCTGTCTCTGGACATCTCCTGTAGTATGTCTGAAGTCTCTAATCATCTCCTGTACTATGTCCATCTGGTCATCTTCTGTACCATGGCCGCAGTCTCTGGTCATCTTCTGTAGTAAGCCCACAGTCTCTGGTCATCTCTTGTACTACTTCCACAGTCTCAAATCATCTCCTGTAGTACATCTGCAGTCTCAAATCATCTCCTGTAGTATATCTACAGTCTCTGACTGTCTCCTGTAGTATGTCTACAGTTTCTGACCATCTCTTGTAGTATGTGTATTAATAAGCTGCCTTGCTCAATTATTTGGGATTGCTCCACTGCTCAATGATTGTTAATAGTGTGCAGTAACCTCTAGCAACCAGTCAGTGAACAGTAGTTATCTGCTGTAGTCTCTAGCAACTACGGTAATCAGTTAGCAGTACTGATGTGCAGTAACCTCTAGCAACCAATCAGTAAGCAGTGATCATGTGCTGTAACTTCTAGCAACCAATCAGCAAGCAGAAATTATGGTATGTGTTTGTAACCTCTAGTAAATAGTCAGTGAGCGGTAATGATAGGTGGTAACCTCTGGTGACCAATCCCAATTGCTGCCTGCTCTTTTTTTGTATGTCTCAGAGTGTGGGGGGGGGGGGGGGGGCAAGAAAATGTTTGCCCAGGGCCCAATTAGTATTAAAAATGGCCTTGGCACCAGGCCTGCGTTTCAGTGAACGAGCATGTCACACCGTGGGAGGAGCGAGTGCTGGCGACCGCACTGCTGTGCTGTGTACATGGGGGTAATGTTTTCAGCTACAGTGCTTTTATAACAATGAAGAACACATTACTAACAGTTCCTTCATTACTGTATTTTCTTGCAGAAAAATACCACCTCATTCTACATACGTACAAGGATGATAAAGCAAAAAAGACTAGCATATAAAATTCCTTTTAAACTGGAGGTAGTAAAATATTCTAAGGAACATGGAAACAGAGGAGCGGAGAGACATTTTGAGCCACCTCCAACTGAAAATATTATAAGAGAGTGGAGGAAACAGGAGGATCAGCTGCAAAAAGCAGATAAAAGTAAGAACACTTTTCGTGGGCATGCTGCAAGGTTCCACAGTTAGAAATGGACATGAAAGAATGGATCATACGTTACCGGAATAATGGCTTCTCAGTCTCTACAAAAATGATAATATATGAAACCAAACGCATTGCTGTAGAGAAAGGCATTCAAGATTTTACTGGATCCCTATCATGGTGCTACAGATTTATGAGACGATGTGACCTTGTTATGCGCACCAAAACTAGAATTGCGCAAAAAAATGCCAAAAGAATATGAATCTAAGATTCTATCTTTTCATAAATTTGTAATTGATACTAGGAAGAATGGATTTGAAATTGGCCAGTTTGGGAATATGGATGAAGTCCCGCTAACCTTTGATGTGCCATTTAATAAGACTGTTGATCTGAAAGGTGCCAAAACCATAACCGTGAAAACCCTAGGACATGAGAAAACCCGTTATATGGTTGTGTTGTCCTGCTGTGCAGATGGCACGAAATTGCCACCCATGTTAATTTTCAAAAGGAAAACTTTTCCAAAAGTAGAAATTCCGCAAGGAGTTGTTGTACATGTTTATGAGAAAGGATGGATGGACAAAAACTTTATGCGAGAAGAGTGGAACAAATGGATGGCTGCTGGTAATCATGATCTGACACCTACTGGATGAATGAAGAGGCCCACTATCACTCAAGTTTGTGAATGGGTGAAAACATCATGGTACTTAGTGAAGGAGAAAATCATTGTACAATCATTCAATAAAATGTGGCATTAGCAATGCCTTATATGGGACTGAAGATAGTATCGTATATGAAGATAGCAAAGAAAGTGATGCCAGTGATTGTGAGCAACTGAGCTTCATAAATTCTGACACTAGCAATGATGAGTTCCTGGGGTTCCCAGAAAACTAGAAGAGTACTTGAACCTTAAAGTCTTTCCTCATTTGTTAATTACAGTGATGATGGTTCTAAATGTCATTGTTGACTGCTGTTCACTTTACATGGTTGAAATATTATTCTGTTATATTTTATTAAATATTTTAGTACACCATTTGGTTCAGATATTTTTTTTCCTTTTTTCCTCCTCTAAAACCTAGGGACGTCTTATGGTCAGGTGCGTCTTATGGAACGAAAAAATATGGTATGTATAATATATAGGTAATTGTGTGGGAGCGCAGCACCATTTCTTTCTTTTTTTCTTTTTTTTGATGGAGTTACATTGTGTACCACAATGTAACTCTTCTCATCACCCCCCTCCAGAATCATCACCATCAAAACAATGTAACTCCATCATCTCAGGGTGTATGACTAGGGTGTAATGTGGTGTATGATGTCCTATGTCTGGCCAGATTAGTACAGTCCACAGGATTAGGCTACAGCAGTGCACTTACCCTCTCTGTTGCTCTCTCGAGTCGTTAATGCACCTGAGAAGGCAGGCTGGGTGTCACCTCTTCCCAGAGTGACCACACGAGGCTGACCCCAAGTCCTGTCCACTCACAATGCGAGCTTTGCAGCAGGCTCTACCTCAGAGTAGGAGCGAGTGCCCAATCAGCTGCAGGGGGAGAAGGTAAGGGGAGGAGGAATCAGGGTCCCAGCTTGTATGTGCTTCTTTGTGGCCGTGGTCTGTTTTTTTAGGATGTGCCAGTGGCTGGCCCATATTGGTAACTTAACAGCTGCTGCCGCTGGCCCTGTGCCTGGGCCCCTTGATGCCTGCTCTATGCCTACTTCCCAATCCAGACCACACATGCTTTACCCTATACCTTCCTCAATTCCTCCACCCTCCACATTCTAACCACTCAGCCACTACCTCCAACTACTCAGCCTGCAAGTGCTCCTTATGCTCACCAATATTATTCCATACAGAGTTACCCGGGTCCTTCAACTAAATTCTCTTACCAATCCTCCACTTCTAGCTCCTCTTTCATGGGGCCCAAAGTGTATCATCAGCTTTAAGTTTTTGTTGGGTTGTTTTTATTCTTCTGTTTTTTAACGTTATTGTTGTTTAATAATAATATCTTTATGTTGTTTAAAAAAGATTAAAATTGCTAAACTGATACCACTATTGGTGTTAACGGGAAGAATAAAGCCCCATCACTGGTGTCAGTGGGAGGTATAGAGCCACATCATTGGTGTCAGTGGGAGGTATAGAGATCCATTACTGGTGTCAGTGGAAGGAATAGAGCCCATAATTAGTGTCAGTGGCAAGAATTATGCCCCATTGAAACATTATTACTATATCACTGTGTGATATCTAGTTATCAAGGCGGCAAAGTAAAGTTACGGTTTGGTTGTCCAAATTGATCACATGCCATAAATCAGCAGGTTTAGAGCTTTTTAAAACTTACCTGTGTGATTACTAATCTTTAAATGGGGGGAACACTCAATTGAAAGTTTGTGTTCATTCAATCTAGCTTGTTAGAGACCAAACCCAAAAATTCGCCAAAGCTGTAAAGACAGATATGGGACTATTACATTATGTCACCATGGAATTAATCACATAGCGAATAACGAGCAACAATGACAACTTTAATTAGATGTCAAAATACACAGTGTGAGCAAATAATTTATTAACAGCTTTCTGCTCACCCACAATGTACTGTAGATGGGCAGCAGCTACAGGCAGAGCAACGTGGGCTTTACTAACACAGGGGAGCTCCAAGCCCAGTTGGAATGCTGGTCCTGGTAAACGCAGACCTGGTGGTCATGTGATCACTATACGATCACATGATTGCAATGACAGCAAAGTTGTTATGAATCAATCTGATTCACAACAGCTTTGCTTCCCTTTCTAGTGAGCTGTGAGTGACCCACCGCTCTCACATGGTACATGGGCTAATCACAGCACCCTATACCATGTGATCAGTTGTAGCCAATCACAGATCACTAGTATTTTTATCTACTTAACTTAACTGTTTATGACAGTTCAAAGCAAGCATTGCATTACAAGAGGAATAATCTTTATTGCTCCTGCAAAGCAAAGTGTAAAAAAATAAATAAAATCCCTGATCACCCCCAGAGTAGTACAATGTTACTATGGTAACATTGCACTAGTCTGATGAAAGTGTTTTTTTTTAATAATAAAAAATAATGTTAAAAAAATTAAATACTGAGAATGTTTTTTTAAGGTTTTATTTAACTACTTGCCAACCGCCCACCCACAATGTGGGGGCAAGTGGCGGCTCTGGGCAAAGCAACGTGCCCTTACGTCACTTTCTATTTCCAGGTGTGAGTGCACATACGTTCACCCCCTGTCAGTTCAGGCAGAGAAGAGAGCACACCACACAGTGAATAAAAGCACTACATTTAACATTCACGCAATAGATCACCCTCTCACCCAGCTAGTGTCATTAGTACAATGTCAGTATATAGAATTTTTCACTGATCACCGTATCACTGCCACTAGTGACATCAGATAGCATCAGGGTCAGTTAGCGCCCCTCCCAGCCAGGGTCAGCTAGCGTTAGACTGCCTGCACACTATCGCACTTACACTATAGGTCGCTGATCATCTCAATTACCAATATAGTGTTTGTATGAATCAATATAGAGGCATACCTACGTTTACGAATTTAATTAGTTCTGCAGGACTTTTCGTTATAGCGAAAAATTTGTAATAGGAAATAGGACTGCATTAATCCATTCAGTAGGTCAGAAAAAAGTAAACGCTATTACAATTCCACATGAGTTATTTTATCAAGTTATGCCGTATTTTAGTAGTGACAACCATGTGTTAATGTTTCAGGTTTCAGTGGGGTTCCCACTGACAGCTGAATGTAAAAGAATTGCCGGCAATTAAAAAAATTAATTTAAAACACAGTGTGGGGTCCCCCTCCTATCCATACCAAGCCTTTCGGGTCTGGTATGGATTTTGAGGGGAACTCCCATGCCAAAATTTAAAAAAGGCGTAGGGGTCCCTCCAAAAGCGTGGGGCTCCCCCCAAAGCACCTTGTCCCCATGTTGATGGGGACAAGGGAAAGCCATGCAAAGCAGTGTGATTACAGTGAAGCACACGGACACAGCTTACAGTGAAACACACAGCACACAGTTAACCCTTTGAGCACCCCAGATGTTAACCCCTTCCTGCCAGTGCCATTAGTACAGTGTCAGTGCTTTTTATTAGCACTGATCACTGTATTGGTGTCACTGGGGACGTCAGTGACACCAAGTCAATTCCCCCCAGTGTCAGAATGCCCGCCGCAGTCTGCTATAATCGCTGA